TACATAAAAGTGTCTGCAAATTATTGAGGGCATGTGTTTAAAAAAATTAAGATAAATCAACCAAATCCTGTGATAAACGAATATCACCCACCCTTTAAAAGTCAAGTTGAAAAATGTTTTGTATAAATACTCCTATGTCTCCACATTCCCTTTATCTATTTATAGGCACCAGTACTCCAGTGGGGGTGGGGGGAGGGGGGCAAAACGCATCAGTAAATGTTGCTGATGTGAAGTGTTCTCTGATGTGCTGGAGCAATAATGTTGACTTTACCCTTTAGGAACAGCATACACTTACTTTTTATGAACTGGAGAAGTTATTTTAGTGCCGTACAATCAGGAACCAGATTGTGTGTAAGGATGTGAAGCAGACACTTTGGGGGTGATTAACTAAAACTGGAGAGTACAAAACCTGGTGTAGCTCTGCATAGAAACCAATCTGCTTCCAGGTTTTATTGTCAAAGCTTAATTAAACAAGTGAAGTTAGAAGCTGGTTGGCTATCATGCACAGCTGCATCAGATTCTGAGTGCTCCAGTTTTAGTAAATCTTCACCATACTGACAATATGGTCCTATATTCCTATGTTTCATCATGGCGAATTGTGATAAAACACTGACAAGGAAAATACAATTGTAACAATAAATGGACAGGAAATGGGCAATCATTACAATGCATGGCCCAGTAATGATCAAATATGACAATATCCAGGTAACAAACAAGCAAACAATTCAATATGCTGGCAAGAATTGATCACTCACTACCTTATGCAGAAAACAGACAGGCAGATGTGAAAATATATGGGCAAGAAACTGTCATTCTTGAAAAAAAAAAAAAGGCAGTTGTTAGAAATATGCAGGCAATAATAGCAATACACCATGTTCATTGAATTGTCTAATGTCATTGTCCTAGCTAATGTAGGGGTGGTTTTGGCACATTCAAATAGTTGGATGGAGTTTCAGTAACTTAGTTTCGCAACAAAGAAGTTGTTTAAATCCTATTATGCCCTTAAAAAACTACTAAAAAATACTTTAATACTGGTGAAATGCCAGCACATTTCTTAACCTCTCCCCGCCCAGCCTATATTCAAATGATGGCCGGGTGGGGCATTCACCGTTCTGCCCATATGATGTCCTCCCTGAACACGGCTTGCGCATGCCCTATGGGCTGCACTATGGCGAGATCTATCACCTGCTGTGTCCACCGGACCACTCTATAGACCGCTGCTGATACCATGTGATTGATGTGACCAATCACATGGCAATTGTACACAATGGATGAAATTCATTCATGCCATCAATTGTGTACTATTGTGTTGATCTTTGTGATTGGTCACAGTGATCGTATGGTACAGACAAGGCCAATCACAACCCACCTGTAGCATGTGATTAGCTGTGACCAGTCACAGCTAACCATAATAGTAATCACTGAATGAATCAATTTAATTCAGTAAAAATAGTTGCTTACAACAGTGAAATTCACTGGTATGAGCAATCATAATGTGTAGAAAAAAATCCTGATCACTTCTCCAGAGTACTATAATCTTACTATGGTAAGATTATGGTACTCAGGTCACAGTGAAAAAACATACTGTCACCAGTCAGTATCCCTGATTACTGCCACTCCAGTTATATGATGACAGTATGTAAAAAAATGTGAAATTATTTTGTTTTTAAATTTCTTCATTTTCCAAAAAATTGTGTCATAAAAATTACTACTTCAAAAAACTTGCCATGCCTCTTGCTAAATACCTTGGACTGTCTACTTTCCTAATAGGGGTCATTTGGGGTATATTTGTACTGTCCTGGCATTTTCAAGAAATGAAATACATATGTCAGTACACCAGAATTGATTGATTTTCATATATATATATATATATATATATATATATATCATAGTTTTGTGGACTCTGAAATTTTCCTACAGACTAAATAATAAACACTGATTTGAGTTCTTTTTACCAAAGAAATGTAGCAGAATACAGTTTAGCCTACACTGATGAAGAAGGATTATATATTTGCAATTTTGTTTGCAGAAATGAAAAAAAAATCGCATTTTTTAAACATTTTTAGGTCTTTTTTCACTTATTTAACAAAAAAAATAAAAACCAAGTGGTGATTAAATGCCACCAAAAGAAATCTCTATTTGTGTGAAAAAAAGTATAAAATTTAATATGGGTACAATGTTGCATGATTGTTCTTCAAAGTGTGACCGTGCCAAAAGCTAAAAAATTGTCCTGGGCAGGAAGGGGGTGAAAGTGCCTGGTATTGAAGTGGTTAAACTTCTTCACCAGTTCCACACAGTGGTAAAGGCTCTGAGTTTAAAATGGTTGAGAAACTTGAATAAAGGTGTTTACTTTATGTGTTTAGTTATATTTTTTACAAGATGGGGCAACCTCACTCTCCCACTAGTCTAGTGGAGTCTCACTACCCCACATAGCCTGTATATTATCAACAAAAAGAACCTTCAAAGTGATTCAGTAGTGCAATGCAATATATATGTGCACAAAGATAAACAAATTAGTAATCAAAAAAATGTGAAAAAAACTAAAAGTACATATATAGTCTTTTCCACTCAAAAAGCGATTTAGCTACCAATGAGAATGGGAGGCATGGCTATCTGGTGAGTGCACACCCGAAAGGGGGAACGCTATTTTATTGCACATGGTAATCTTTTGGGAATTGGAAGATTCATTTGGTGGCATAGACTTTATTTTTTTTTCACATTTTTTTTTTATCACTAATTTGTTTATCTTTGTGCACATATATATTTCATTGTGCTACTGAATCACTTTGAAGGTTCTTTTTGTTGATTATATTTATTTGTATAGAAGTGCAAGCATTTATTTATTTTAATTCATTATTTTTTTATTTAGATTTCATCACGCATCTAGTGCAAAATATTTTGTTTTTTTATATACACATATAGCCTGTATATTGCTCATCTCAGGGTGATCAGTCTTCTAGGTTAAATATATCTAATATGAACTTCTAGGAGGTTCTCATGTAAGGTGACCTCTCAGGTAAGGTGACCGACAGTTTGACTAGTACTCAAGTTCCAGCTTACTGTTGTGAAATCTTTCTGGGTGATCAGGAATTGTTTATTTTAAAAATACCTAGTTAAGACACTTTCTACAATTATGCCATCACTATTGTTCCACAAAATTGAAAACATTGATCATACTTCCTGGAACTGAGCCTCTGTGAAATACCTATCTGACAGGAACTCATTATAACTATAAAAAAATACAAAATAAGTAGGTAAAAAGAATGAGCAGATTTATTTTTGTTTCTCATATACATTTCCATATTGTTCAGAGCTCAACTTGGCTTCATACAATTTTTTTGTGTACTATTATGCATTCAAATGCCCGCCTGCAGAAGCAAATACATTTCTAGAAACAAGTATTGATTACATGGATACTGACTAATGAGCTGAACGAACCAGTGATGAAAGTCATTAATTGCTTATCAGACTTCTTTGGGTTTTTCCCAAGAGACTTTATATGGAATGAATAATTCAGCAATAAATAACACCCTGCCTCCCTCATCCTGCAATCATTCATTAGAGAGAATAATAGCAGCCACATACAAGCATCATCAAGGGCATTTACACTATGTAGATTTAATGCAGATGACATTTTAGGAATGACTAGTACAAAATGAATAAAGACAGACGTGCTTTCCATCCACTGCATAACCATTGTTTATGGTGTTGGAGGTGAAGCTCTTTTTGCCACAGGCAGTTTGCAGGGTCTGCAGAGAATATACTATGAATGCTAATAATTTCTAGTATAAAATGTGTGAGCGTAAATTTTGCATATGGTGTGCAAAATCTGCACTTACACATCTTTCAAAGATGTCATATAAAGTATTTCATGGGGTTCAAAAACAACTAGCTCAGTATAAAGTTGACAAAAGTATTGATGAAATTTCTGTTAGCATGTGTGAATGATAAAAAACACCTCTTCTAATTTAAAAATGTATAAAGTGAGTTATGCATGCTCTCTAAAATACTGTCTCTGTAATTGGGATTTGATGTAGCTTGCCAAAAAGATATGTATGTATCCGGTTGACTTTTGCCTTTGAAAACTTGAACAGGAACTTCACCCTCCCCGTTATTTATTTATTTGTTTGTTTGTTTTTTAAATCCCTGCTTACCTGATACTGGTTTGTTCTGCTGACATCCACTTCTCTGCTCCCAATGCTCAGATCCCTCACAGCTATTTTTTCTGCCATGTCATCAGCATACACGAGTGGTAGCTTTGCCTGGGACCAGGCAGAGGCTGCAGTCACGTGAAGCATCAACAATTAAGACTCTCTACTTAGAGATGAGCTCTCATTGTGTACAGTAAAGATGCAGAGTTCCTCTGAAAAGTAGTGTCCCACGTCTCTATACACGATGCCTTATTACTTTTTGCATCAGGAGTGCATCAAACTGACCCACACAATCTCCAATGGCCAGCTTATCTCTGTTACCTCACTTCCAATAGCAGAACAGGGTCCCGCCGCGCACCAGCAGGCACACGTTTAACTTTTCTTGTTCACTTCTTGCGTCCAGTGACTATTTACTATGAACTATAAGATTTGTAGTGTACATGACCACAATTAACATGCATTCTGTGTTCCAAACAAGAAGAAGTGTCAGCACCTGCGATAGTGAGACCTTGTAGATACTCAACTTGGGGTTCCCCAGGGCGTGGAGTCTAAGCCCCAGCCTGCTTCTTCACCAGAGCCCCTGATGGTGGGGATAGACTTGCATCAAGTTGGGACCAGGTTGCGGCCCCCAGGTACGCCCAGCTGAGGATGAGGAGACCGCTCGCAGGAGCAGAGTACAATGGGAGGAGACAAACGGAAATCCGATAGACTAGCCATATGATGTCCTCCCATTCTAACCGCGCGGCTCTGGGAGCGTGCAGCGTGGCGATCAGCTGTGCGCTGTGTCCCTCGGACACAGCTAATCACCGATCAATGGAAAGAGCCGAAGATGTCAGCTCAGTCATGTGATCAGCTGTATCCAATCACAGCTGATCACATGTAAATAGGGAAATGCCGGTTATCAGCATTTCTCTCCTCACGAGCTGTCACGCCGGTAATCGGCATTCCTCAGAGGGAACATGTACACTGATCATCAGGGCACTGATGATCAGTGTGCCCTGATGATCTGTGTAGCCCCAGCAGCGCCACCTGTCTGTGTCCATCAGTGCCAGCTGTCAGTGCTCATCCATGCCACCTGCCAGTGCCCATCAGTGCCACATCAATGCCACATTTCAGTGCCTACCAGTGCACATCAATGCCACATATCAGTGCCCATTTGAGCTGCCTTTCAGTGTCACCCATTAGTGCCAGTCAGTGCCACCTATCAATGCCAGTCAGTGCCATCTATCAGTGCTGCCAATCAGTGCCACCTATCAGTGCCAGTCAGTGCCGCCTATCAGTGCCAGTCAGTGCCGCCTATCAGTGTGCATCAGTTCCGCCTACCAGTGCCTGTCAGTGTTGCCTATCAGTGCCGCCTAACAGTGACACCTATCAGTGCCAGTCAGTGCCGCCTATCAGTGTCACCTATCAGTGCCGCCTATCAGTGCCATATATGAGTGCTGCCTTTCAATGCCCATCAGTGATCCCTGTCAATGCCCATCAGTGCCACCTACCAGTGCCTCCTCATCAGTGCCCATCAGTGCCACCTATCAGTGTCCATCAGTGCAGCCTATCAGTGCCCATCAGTGCAGCCTCATTAGTGCACATCAATGAAGGAGAAAAATCACTTATTTACAAAATTTTATAACAAAAACTAAGAAAAAAATTTTTTTTTTTCAAAATTGTCAGTGGTTTTTGGTTTGTTTAAGAAAAAATAAAAACCGCAGAGGTGATTAAATACCACCAAAATAAAACTCTGTCACAAAAAATGATAAAAATATCATATGGGTACAGTGTTTCATGACCGCACAATTGTCATTCAAAGTGCGATAGCGCTGGAAGCTGGAAATTGGCCTGGGCAGGAAGGGGGTAATAGTGCCCTGTAGGCTAGTGGTTAAAGCTATGCTCCTTACCCTCCAGACTGGTTTTCAACATGAGCTGCGCTCCTCTATTTCCAGATTGTCTAACAGATTAGATAACATTGAAGAGTACACGGAACACCTAGAATCCCAGATTAATCTGGCTGCAAAAGCACATGATGACCTTGCAGATGCATATGATGAACAGGCGTAAGTGATACGTAAACTCCAACTCAAAGTCGCAGACTTGGAAGACCACTCCACCTGCAACAACATTAAGTTAAGAGGGATTCCTGAAACTGTCAAAAAAATAGTGATCTAATCGCTTACTTACAGCAATTATTTCTTAAGCTTATCCCAGACCTCACTCCACACGATCTATTGCTAGATAGGGCCCACAGGATTTTTTGAAAGAACAAAAAACAAATGAATAAAGTGTTTAAAGTGGCAAACCCATATAATAAAAATCACATAAATACCCATAACATTCAATAATAATAACACAATTATGTGAAAAGTCCGTGTTTGCTGTAAAAAATTGTTACAAACTAAAAAGTGATGGAAAGTCCATGAAAAAAGTGTGATAAAAGTGATCCAAAAGTCCATAAAAGTAAATCTTCTATTTCACCATGTGCAGCAAACTGACAACAAAGTGCTCCATAGGATTCCCCACATGGATGTAAACTCACCAAAGTATTTGCCTTCCACTCCTGTGGTCAAGAGGGCCCACAGTATACCATGTCTCCCAGATGCAATCCCACGTTCATTTTTATCACATCAAAGATCGTCTAATGAGAGTGTCTAGATCCATAAAATCGCTTTCCCCACCATATACAGGAGTGACCTTATACCAAGATTTGTCTGCAGCCACTGCTCAAAGGCACTAAGAATTCGCTCCGATCACTACAACTTTGCAGGAACGCAATATTGTTTATCACTGGGGTTTTCTGACCAAGTTATTAGTTAATCAACAAATAGCAATTACCTCCTCTAAAGATGGACACAAACAACTTAATAACTGGGGGATCTCAGCAACCTCAGCAAGGCCTAGCACCCCTCGGTATGACCTGCCTAATAAGAGCAATAAGGCCTGAGACCTCCATTCACATAAATAATCTGAATAGCAACATAACTCAAGTGCCTATGTAACGTTCTCACCTCAGGCTGCTTTGGATGTAGTAGCATCACCTGTTATCATACGCCCTGGCAGTATAGTCTATTGCTACTCTTTATTGTTCACACGCCCCAGGATTCACCTGTGCACACTGCTTCTCTTTTGTTTGTGCTTATTACTACTGACGCCACCTGTCAAACAGCTTATTTTATTTTCTTGTTGTAAATCAGTTGCACTTACCCACGTATCTTCCTTTTTTGTTTGATCATAACATTATTTGCATTGTAATATTTTGCTCAAAGTGGTCTTTCCCTTGCTTTGCTTGCTACTGCCAGACCTAGACTGCCATGACACTTTGCATAGCTACCATTAAGGTATGGAAATTATGGAAAGAGGCATCGACTCAAAAAACTGATGTTCTTTGTGTACAAGAGACAAACTTTGCACAAGGGAAAGGCCCCCCCCCCTCATTACCATGTATTCCACCATCAGTTTTTCACCAACGACACCAAAAAATTCAGAGGAGTTATGATAGCTATACATAATTCCATATCTTTTCAACTTCAAAATGTAGAGGTAGATCCCTTGAGCAGATTTATTATCCTGGCTGCATTACTAGACAATGTGCCCCTCACAATAGCTAACATATTTGCCCCTAACACTCATCATAAATCCTTTTTCATCTGGTTAAGAACAAACTTTTCCAATATCCAAAAGACTGAGTGATTTTATGCGGAGACTTTAATGATATTGATGATGGAGTCTTAGACTCCTCAAACACACGCAGATCCAGACCCTCAGCCCTTTCCTCATTCATACACACAGAAGACCTTTTTGATCCCTGGCAGTGCCTCCATGGCACAGAGAGAGACTATACTGTTTACTCTGCTGCGCAAAAGTCCAGAATTGATCTCTTCCTGGTACATAAGATTACATTACAAGCTATATCCCAGGCAACCATTGGTCCAATCATGTTGTCAGACCACGCCGCGGTAACCATTTCCCTTGCTCTTAAACCGGAAAGCAAACAACACATGACCTGGAGAATGAATACCTCACGCAGCCTGTATAGCGGGAACAGATTAAGAATGAAATTGAGACCTACTTTAGCATTAATGCAGGTTTTGTGACAAATGACCCGCTTCTCTGGAATGCTCATAAATCTTATATAAGGGGTGTCTTTATCAGGCTGGGTGCAAAGAGAGACCGAGCACAGAAATTAAATTTATTTCTGGATCAGATATGCAAAGCAGAATCTACCAATAAGGCAAACCCTTAATGAAGCCGATACCACACTTCTATATACACTTAGAGAAGAGCATATTAAAAAACTAAGCCTTAATTGGTATGCACATGGAAACAGACCAGGAGCACTCTTAGCAAAACAAGTCCAATGTAAAGCAACACTTTAAAATTCCTTTCATGCGGAATATGCAAGGCCAAAGAGTTAGTAACCCCAAAGGTATTGAAAATTGCTTCAGTGAGTTCTGTGATAAACTATACAATCTAGCCCTCCCCGAAGTGGACAGCACTCCAGACCCCATTCAGATGCAGTCTTTCCTATATTCCCTCCAGTTTCCCTCTCTTTCACCATCCCAACAGGAAGAACTTAATCAACCCTTTTTTGATGCAGATATAGTAAAAGCAATTCACTCCCTCCCACTTCATAAAGCCCCGGGACCTGACGGCTTTTGCAATAAATGTTTTAAATCTTTCCCCAACCTGCTTACTCCCCACCTTTGCAGATCCTTTAATCACTTCATGTCCACAGGAGACATACTGAAAGAATCCCTTGAGGCTTTAATAGTCACCATTCCGAAACTGGCAAAAACTTTGTTCAGCTCCTCACTAGTCTGTCCCGATCAAGTAGGGTTCATACCTAAATGATAAACCTCAGATGGAAACCGACGATTCCTCAACCTAATGCAATGGGTGGAACATCACAAAACTCCTTCTCTTCTCCTCTCATTGGACACAGAGAAGGCGTTTGACAGAGTGCACTGGTGTCATTTTACAGTGGTACTCAAATTATTTGTGGGAAACATTTTTAGAGCAGTTCTTGCCCTTTATTCGCATCCATCTGCCAGGGTCTGGACCTCTGGTATCACTTCATAACCCCATCAACATTACTAACGGTACACAACAAGGTTGTCCCCTATCCCCACTTATTTTGCTTTAGTGATGGAGCCCCCCACAGAAGCAATTCGGTCACATCCACGTATTTCAGGCCTACTAGTTGGCAATACCACCCATAAAATCAGATTATACGCGGACAATGTAATTGTTGTAATGACTGATCCTACTTGATCCCTACCAGAGCTCTTTGATCTCCTTACAAAATTTGGTCAAATCTCACTATATAAAGTCAACTGCTCCAAATCCTGCCTCCTTGGTATCTGTCTGGATCAAGACACTAGACAACAGCTTGCAAGCTCGTCTTGCTTCACATGGGCACCGGCATCTACTCTTACCTATTACGTATAAAACTGACAGTTCCTTCTCAGAATGTAGTACGGACTAATCTTGAATGCCTGCTCAAAAAACTTTGGGACTTATGCTTAACCTGAAAAAAGTGCGGGCATCCTGGGCTGGAAGGAGGAGAGAGGGGGGGTGGGAGCCTGACCATGGCAGCTGCAATGGGTTGGATGTAGGAGCTCTCTGACAGGCTCCGCTATCCGACCTCCCCAGGGGCCTTCTCTATGCAAGAGAAAGTCGGGGCAAGACCTATCTTCACCCGAGGGGTCTCGGCGGTCGAGCAGAGGCCCTGAGACACGGAGGACTGGGAGCTGGAGACGGAGTTCGGTCCGCCCGGGGCTCGGCAATTCAGTGAGCTGGGTTGCAGGGAGACAAGTAGAGCAGTGTGACCATGTGGTCAGCCATGAAGGAGTACTGGGAGGAGAGGAAGCCGGGGCGGCATCCTGAGAAGGGAAGGAGGCGCCGGTCTGCTCCTCAGCTCGTTCCCTGGCTTGTCGCCATTATAAAATTCTCTGAATTAGACACAAACACAAAGCCAATGCACATAGTAAAATGGGAAAGAGACATGGGGGGTGGTGTTAGATGATGATAAAGAGAAGAATATATATAGATTAACTCACGAGAATGTAAGTATGAGAGAGGTGGAAATAAATTATAAGTGTTTGACAAGATGGCACATTACACGGAATGTTGAACATAAGATGTGTGGGGGGAATTCACTGTGGTGTTGGAGGGGTTGTGGAGAGATACACTGTAGGCACATATGGTGGGATTGTCCAAAAATTCAAGAATTCTGGAAGACAATAGTTCATTTAATTGGGATGATAACTGAGATTTATATTGGGTTAGATCCAGAGATTTGCCTTCTACATAGCACAGAGCTATCAGTGAATAAATATAAAAAATCAGGTATAGGGTACTATCTAAATGCTGCAAAAGGTCTGATACCCAAGTTTTGGAGGAAAACAGAGGTGCCGAAGGAGGAAGACTGGGTAGATAGAGTGAACCAGATTAGTAGGATGGAAAAACTCTACTACATGCAGGAAGACAAGATGGGGATATACTACGCAAGATGGGCAAAATGGGAAAAATCTGGATTAAATGTGAAATATAGAAAGATATAGAGTGGGCAAGCTTCTCTTGCTTTAGTAGGTTAGACGTGGGGAGGATGCAGAGTGGGTAGTTGGGGGGGGGGGGGGG